CTACGCCTTCGTTCACTTCGAGGAGCGAGACGCCGCAGTCAAGGTGAAGCGCCTGCACACTTACAAACCTCTAAAAAAAAACTTGTTTTCAGCAAATTAGTGAGAAAGTGTTGATTTTCACAAACTGGCCTTATTTTACAGTGTGCATGCAACTCTGTTACCAAAATGTTGGACATGCATAATTATAGTTTTGAGTATGGATTTCATTATTTCTGCAGTGACCATTAAATAAAATTAAAAATAAAGAAGATTATGCTGAAATCAGTAATGGTTATAGTAAATAATATAGTATAAGTCTTCCGTGTGTGTAAATAATATAGTATAAGTCTGTCCGTGTCCGTGTGTGTGTGTGTGTGTGTGTGTCTGCAGGCGATGCAGGAGATGAACGGTAAAGAGCTGGGCGGTGAGCAGATCGAGATCGTGCTGGCCAAACCTCCAGATAAGAAGAGGAAAGAACGACAAGCTGCCCGACAGACCAGCAGAAGCTCAGGGTGAGACGATTATAAACACTGTAACACAGCCCTAGCTCTGCATTTCTGCAGTTTAACCTCAGAACGCATTCAGGTCTGTTTTGACCCAGAAGAGATGCATGCAAATTATGCGTTTGTGTTTGTTTCGGGGTTTTTAGTAAGGGAGTGAAACTTGCAGATGCTTTAAGACCCTCAAAATGCACATCATTTATTTTTTACAATTATGTTTCAATTAACTGATTTTAAATTTAAAAATGTTAAACATTCTATGTTCTGGTCATTTTGACCCGGGCATTAGGAGGTTATATTGGTGTCAAAAATATATTTTTGGAAAAATACAATTTGTCCTTTTCCTTATATCTCACATACTTTTGGGACTGAATTTTGTTGATGAACATGAATATGACCAACCATTGCAGCTTGAAAAACTGATCACTTTTTCATTTGAGAGTAAAAGTTTATGCCGGTAACATGAATGTATTTTGTTTGAAAACTATATTTGTTATTTTGTCAGAAATAAATATGTAGGTTTTATAGGATTTATAAATTTGGACTGTTTTGAGTAATCATGATTAATAAATTCAAAGGAATTTAATTAAATTCCATTCATTCCAATGGTGTTAATACTGGTAATCCTGAGATTATATGTTCTTATAAATTTCATACAGTGATTTATTCAAATAACATTTTTCATCAATATATATATACATATATGTATTGCATCATAGTTTTTTTGACATGGCTCATGTGTAATTTGAAATTTCAGTTAATTTCTCAAATTCTTTTTGGTAACATACATTGACATGCCAATATTCAAAACTTAAAAAAATAAAAATCTACATTTACTCATCAATGAGAAGTTGATGATCAGATACAATATGGCTTTAGTCGAAAAATATTAGTTGAGATTCTTCGGGTCCAAACGGACCTGGAATATGAAAATTGTATACAGATTTTTAATGCATTATGAGGGTTGTATACTGTTTTTACAAACGAGGAGGCAGGATTTGTCAGGTTTAGCTCTGACGGTGTGTCTGTCTCCACCTGTGCAGGTATGATGACTATTATTACTACCCTCCCCCCCGCATGCCTCCTCCGGGGCGTGGCCGCGGGCGTGGTGGGCGGGGCGGATACGCCTACCCGCCCGATTACTACGGTTACGAGGAGTACTACGATGATTACTATGGTTACGATTACCATGACTACCGAGGCGGCTACGATGACCCCTACTACGCTTACGACGATGGCTACTCCATGAGGGGGCGGGGCAGTGGGCGGAGCCGTGGAGCTCCACCTCCCCCCAGAGCCCGCTCGAGGAAACCGCGGCGGAAACGTGGGCGGGAAGAGGAAGGCAGACGTGTTTAACCAGCCGGACTCCAAACGCCGTCAGACCAACCAGCAAAACTGGGGCTCGCAGCCCATCGCCCAGCAGCCCCTGGGCTCCGACTACGCCGCCGGCTACGGCTACAGCAACGACTCGCTCGAGTTCTCCCAGGACTCCTACGGCCAGCAGTGGAAGTAGACGCGCAGCCCGCCCTCGTCCTGAGAAACTAGACCGTGATTGGCCAGCTGTGTTTGTTTGACTTTTCTATCCTCCAGTAGCCCTGTAGATTCTGTCTGTGGCCCTGGCGGGACGCTTGTCTTAAACAGACACAACACTTTTATTCCCACATCCTCCTTGTTTTAAACTCCACCATGAGCATTTTAAAGAACACACTGATACTTCCGAGCAAGCGTGCGCGTGAAAGGACGTTCAAATCATGAAATGGCCTTCCAGAAAGATGTCGTCCTTCCCGCAGTCCTCCGTTCTCATCGTCTCTCTTTCTCTCAGTGCTAGTGGCATAGGGACTCGCTTGTAAATAATAGCTGTCGACTAGAGCTTCGTTTCAGCTTTTTGTTTTACTTTTGTGTTTTTTTGTTTTTTTTGCAGAAGTGGAGAAAATAATCCACGAGAAGGAAAAAAAAAAAAGTTTTGTAGCAGGAGTGCTGTTTAGGTGTCTGTTTAGCATTTCTAGAAGTAGTTGAATTGTGTTTTTTAAAAACTGCTATACTGATATTATAACTTCAGATGGTTTTTTTCATTTGGGATTTGCTGGTGAGGGTTTGGTCTGGCTTACCTTAAGAGCTATGGCCCGCTGGTCTGATGTTTGTATTTATAACTTTTATTTTTTGTTTGTTCAGTTTCAATAAAACTCAATTGAGCAAATTTCACTGGTTTCTGCGAACTTCACGTAGTGAGTGTGAGTGAGTGAGTGAGTGTGTGTGTGTGTGTAAGTGTAGAAGAGAGTGTGTGAAGAGTGTGAGTGTGTGTGTATTAGTGTAAGTGTGTGTGGGTAAGTGTATAAGAGTGTGAGTGTGTGTGTATTAGTGTAAGTGTGTGTGAGTGTAAGTGTATAAGAGTGAGTGTGTGTGTATTAGTGTAAGTGTGTGTGGGTAAGTGTATAAGAGTGTGTGTGTGTGTATAAGAGAATGAGAGTAAGTGTATAAGAGTATGAGTGTGTGTGTATTAGTGTAAGTGTGTGTGGGTAAGTGTATAAGAGTGTGTGTGTGTATAAGAGAATGAGAGTGTAAGTGTATGAGTAAGTGTATAAGAGTGTGAGTGTGTGTGTATTAGTGTAAGTGTGTGGGTAAGTGTATAAGAGTGTGTATTAGTGTAAGTGTGTGTGGGTAAGTGTATAAGAGTGTGTGTGTGTGT